AATCGACATGTGAAAATTAAATACACTATATTTCATCTCTGTCAAAGAAAAGATTGTCCAATAAGCCACTCCGCATCTCAAAGTTTCTCATGTTCTATCTCTTTTCCTGTCAACGACACTATATCACATCTCTTCTTCATTGAAATTTTGTTCTTTAGACTCTCCTTATTCTGTTTAGCAAGCAAGTAAAACCTTATTTTTATTTTCGAGATTTTTTATTTGTTAGTTCTTTAGGGTTCAATTGAATGAGCTCAATTTATCTTATTTTTGTCATTTTTGTTTTATATTTTTTAAAGCACTTATTCTATGTTGCAGGTTATGTTCATTTTTGTTTTATATCTACTTGATTGTTGGTTTTGGTTGGTGTTTGTTTTTTAAAATACTCCAATTATTTATCTTCTAATTAATATCTTCTCTCTAGCATTGAAGATGAGTGAATAGGTGGGTTCAAATTTAATTGCATGTTGTTGGTGGCAGTGTTTTTTATTATTTAAATGGATGTCATTAAAGGTTTCATTAAAGGGGTGTTCTTTTTTCGGATTTTGAGAGGAGGGAAAGTTGGTCAATGAGATTTTGGTTCCTATTGACCAAGAATCTCATGTTCTTTTTTTTCAGATTTATGTAGGGACTAGAGAAAGTTTATTTAACCTACCCATCTCTTAGGTGGGTAAATAACTTTCCCACCTAGGGGAAAAGTTGACAATACTTGAATGGGACAAAAATAAGCATTTTTAACCATTTTGTCATATGTATATTTTTAACAAAATGGTGGTATATATGTCTTTATAAATCAACATAAATAATATAAAAAATCAAATCACACAAATGAAATATAAATATATTTATGATATTGGAACAGATTCGTTTGGATTAGATAGGAGCAATCCAGATTCAATTTGATTTTTAAACAAATAATATTTTTCAATATGATCCTATTTGAAAATTTGATAGAGGGATGTCTAAATTCGACAAAATAGGATTGGATTTGAATTTGAATCAGATCATGATCCAGTCCATTTGCACCCCTACCCAACGGCCAACACGAAGATAGTGTGCACATCTCTCTTAAAATTTTATGGCTTAAACCTAGGTCAGTTAGCACCTTATCTTAAATGTAGCTTTAAGCTATTAAGCCACCATTAAGTGTAGCCAAACCGTGAGGCACACGGTTAACATCTGACCGTGCACCACATGGTTTATCTACACCGTGCAACCGCAGTCCAACCCAAGCCGTGAACCACATGGTTTTCTCATAACGTTTGATGCACGGTACAATAAAAATTACTGAAATAAATAAAAAAGTAATTAAAATTGCTTTTGACTGAAAATTATTATACTATTTATTTAATTACTTAATTTATTTTGACTGAAAATAATTAATGCACATTAATGAAAAATCACTGATATGCAAAAAATGCTGAAAATATTGAAAATTATTGCAAAATACGCTAAAAATGTGGAAATTTCTGAAACATCTAAAACTTAATTAAAATACTGAAAATAATTAAAAAAAGCAAAATTAACAGTATTATATTGCAATTTTTTTATACTTATTGAAAAAATGTTGAAAATTAACAGTATTTTTTATTCACTATGGCATTTAATTAATTCACATTATTTATTAATATAATGTATTTTAATAAATACAGTTTTTGAATAATTATAGGATTATTAAGTAATTAACAGTATTTACTAAAAAATAGTATTTTATTAATTAACCATATTTTTAATAATTACAGTATTTTAATAAATATAGTATTATTAATTAATTAATAGTATTTATTAAAATAATATATTTATTCATTACCAATATTTTATTAAGTAAAAATTTAACTGTATTTATTAATAAAATCAATAGTACTTTAATAATATTGACAATTAATTTTAATATAGAAGTACTTATTCATTAAATTAATTATAGTATTTGTTAATTAGTATATAATTAAATTAGCGGTTATTAATTATGGTATTTAATTTATTTCTGAAAACAAATGCACATTAATTTTGTAGTAAAAATTAATTAAAAATGAATAATACAAAAAATTCTAAAAATACTGAAAATATTGAAAAATACCAAAAATTAAGAAAATACGGAAATTTATGAAAAACCTAAAAGTTAATTAAAATACTAAAAATAAAAAAAAATAAATTTAACAGAATTTTATTGCAAAAAAATTTTGAAAATTATTGAAAAGTAACAGTATTTTTTATTAATTATGGTATTTATTTGATTATTTAGTTTATTTAATTAATTAAAATTATTTATTAAAATATAGTATTTTTGAATAATTACAGTATTATTCATTAATTAATAGATTTTATTAAAAACAGTATTTTATTAATTAATAGTAGTTGTTAATTATAAAAAATAAATAAGTTAAATTAATTACTGTATTTATTAATAAATAATAATAATAATAATATTTAGGTTGTCATTTGACGTATATTAGTTTGTGTTTTTAGTGTTTCCATCTATACTATTACATTAGAATAAATTAATTTTCACAAAAAAATCTAACTCTAGAAAATTAATTTTTAAGAAATTTTATTAAAAATTTAGTGTACTTTTCAAAATTTATTATTTATTAGGGTACTTTTGGAAAATTACCAAAAAAAAATGTTGTAAAATATGTTAGCAACATGTTATTACACCACTTAAACCATATAGGTCCAAATCGTGTACTACATGGGCTTCTAAATATGCTACCAACCCATGTACTACATGGGTTGATTTTTGGGAGAAAGATGGTTCAGCCTAGGGTCAGAATTTATAGGCACTACAAAGTACTGTTGGGGTAGGTGCCATCTCCGAATTGATACCAAGTGATGGGCATTGGTGCATAGAGTGTGGGTTGTTGCCATTTTGAATGTTTATAGCTATGTAGTTGAAATCAGAAATCTACATTGGGCATGTCCGTATTTCTCTGTTGATTTTTATTCATTAATAATAATAATAATAATAATAATAATAATAATAATAATAATAATAATAATGATGATGATGATGATGATGATGATGATAGCAATAATGAAAATTTGTGTATATTTCATTATAAAATTATTGAGCATCATAGTTAAATTAGAGTTAATTAAATTTTGATTTCTTTGAATATGTTATTAAATTAGAATAAATTAATATTTAAAAATTCAACAAAATCCAACTTCAGAAAATTAATTTATAAATTTAGTGTAATTTTCAAAATTTATTATTTATTAGTGACTTAGTGTACTTTTGGAAAATTTCCTCAAAATGTTGTAAATAATTGTTGATATTTACTTTTTGTATTTTCAATAGTTACTGAAAATTATTGCATTTTCAAAAGTTTTCTGAATTTTTTTATTTTCAATAAAATATTACATTTCTGAAATTTTTTAGAAAAGCATATTTTGGAAGATAAAATGTAAATTGGTATACTTTTCAAAAATTTGGAAAATTTATTAAAATTTATTAGATTTGTGCAATTCTGAAAAATTATTGAAAATTTGTGTAGTTTTCATAGTAAATAATTATTGTCATTGTAAATTATTCGATATTGGGTAATCCATAACCCAATATGAGCCTGCTCAATACAATAAAGCATTTGCATTCCATAAAAAATTTATAAAAATTAGTTAAAATAAGATAACTAATAGTGGTCCAATTAGAAATGTCATAAAACTCCTACTTAGGGATGACCATTTTTAGGCTCAAGCAATTGCTATCTTCTAAGCAAGGTCTAACTTAGATCTGCACCAATTCCATACATAACGCGAACTATAGGGTTGTAAATGAATCGTATTCGGTTGCATCTGCTTCCGCATTTGATTATGAAGTATCTAGATCCACATCTACATCCGATTATTATGTCATATTTTGGATTGGGTTTGGATTTAATCCACAGCCATCTTATTGTGTTTAAAAATTACCAAAAAAATAAAAAAAGTTTTAAAAAAGCTAATTATTTTTAAAGTATATAAGTATAATAAATGTATATAATATAAAATATTAAAATAATATTTTTATTGGACTCAAATTTTAGATGGGTCAAATGGGATTAAATTCACATATAATCTGATTATTAATTAGATGCAAGTTCTAATATCCAAATCCATGATAATCCGATTCAAAGTTGAATCAGGTATCAGACTTTCAAAGTCCATTGATAAACCTAGCAGGCAAGGCCCAAGTTAAGCATCCCTAAGCTCGGCTTGAAAGTTATATACATATATATATTTAGAGAACAATTTTTTTATTAATATATCAATAAAAATTATTATATATTTTTTATAATAGACTAGCACCTCCCACCCATGTATTGGGAACATCTCCCCATGATAAGTATGAGAGATATTTCTAATGCATGCTGAAATGTGTATGTGGAGGGAATTGGGATTTGTTCCTCACGAAATGCATCTCATACCGACTTCATGGTCCTATCCCACTGTGTATTGGGAACATTCCCGATTAATAACAATACAAAATACGAGAAATATTTCCCATTTGCGGGGAGGCATTGTGAGGTTGGTATGAGGACTGATCAGGAGCGCTTTGTAAGGAGCTGATCCGGAGTCTGTGGGGCGTCAATGTGATTTTGGTGTGACACGGGGATAGAATATGAGTTCATATCTCTGCCCCACAGAACATCCCCCCCATGTATTGGAAACATCTCCGGATGATATATCAGAATCGATGATATTATCATTGAAAATATTCCCAATACACTGTAGGGATGTACTATTGGGCGGCCGCCTATGGGGCAGAGATGTAAACTCATAAAACATAGAAGTGGGTAGCAGATTCGAAGCCCAGTTATTGACTTATTGTTGGAACGTTTTGGGATGGCTTTTTTTATTGGGATGAAAATGAATATCGTTTGACAGAAAAGTACAAACAGGCCTAATATAGATTTCTAATTTCTACTGGAAAGCTATAAACATTAAAAATATCAACAACCCACACTTCTGATTTGTTTGAAAGTGGTTATCAGTCGTCACTTATCACTTATCACTTCTGTGCCTTTTCGGTATTATAGACAGAATAAGTAAAGATAAGAATAAGAAAAGGAAGGGAAAGTAATGGTGGACGCTGGCACAATGCTTTGTTCATGGAAGATAAGAATCAAAACCCTAGAAAGGTACATTTTGGTAAAATGTACAGTGTTTTATTGTTCTGGTTTCCTTTGTCAAAAATTGTCTGTTCTCATTTGTGGTTCTCTTCATTTCTAGTTTACACTCTTCTTTTTGAATCTCAAATTCTGGGTTTTAATTATTTTTGGTTTGATTGCAGAAGGTTTATCAAGACTTCGATGAAGTAATGTGGGTTCTCTGAGAGGGAGCCATGGAGGATCATTGGAAGCTAGTTTTCGCAGTTTTTCTGTGCTTTGTTTCAGTGGTTTCTTGTGCCACTGACCCTAACGACCTCAAAATTCTGAATGACCTCAGAGACGGCTTGGACAACCCAGAACTGCTAAATTGGCCTTCTAACGGAGATGATCCATGTGGCCCTCCTTCATGGCCGCATTTGTTCTGTTCTGGCAGCAAGGTTTCGCAGATTCAAGTTCAAGGCTTGGGATTGAAGGGATCTCTCCCTCAGAACTTCAACCAGCTGAAAATGCTCTCAAATTTGGGACTTCAGAGGAACAACTTCAGTGGGAAGATACCGACGTTCAGCGGATTGTCTGAATTACACTACGCTTATTTGGGTAATAATCAATTTGACACGATCCCTTCCGATTTTTCCAATGGACTTACTAGTTTACAGGTACTGTCCTTGGATAACAATCCATTGAACGCGAGCACTGGTTGGTCTATTCCTAGCGAGTTGCAGAATTCAGCTCAGTTAACCAATCTGTCCTTAATGGGATGCAATTTGGTTGGTTCTGTGCCGGATTTCCTAGGCTCAATGCCGTCGCTGACAGTCCTAAAACTTTCCTACAACAATCTCACCGGAGAAATTCCGGCGAGTTTTAACCAGTCGCAGTTGCAGATTCTGTGGTTGGATAATCAGAATGGTGGCAAGATGACTGGTCCAATAGATGTAATTGTGAACATTCCCTCGCTGACGCAGCTATGGTTACATGGAAATAAATTCAGTGGGACGATTCCTGAGGGCATTGGACAATTGTCTTCTTTGACAGATCTCAACCTCAATACTAACCAACTTGTGGGTCTCATTCCCAAGAGCATAGCAGGTATGCAACTTCAGAAATTAGATTTGAGCAATAACATGTTGATGGGTCCTGTACCAGAATTCAAATTTCCGAATTTCAGTTATGATGGAAATTCATTTTGTCAAGGTATTGGGCTTCCTTGTACTCAGGAAGTTATAGCCCTCCTTGATTTTCTTGGTGGTGTGCAATTCCCATCAAATCTTGCTTCTGCTTGGAAGGGTAATGACCCATGTGCGGGCCCATGGTTAGGAGTGAGTTGTGAAAGTAATAAGGTTTCTGTTATTAATTTGCCTCGAAGAAACCTTAGTGGTATTCTGAGTTCTTCACTAGGGAAGCTAGATTCTCTGTCTGAAATCCGACTTGAAGAAAACCATCTAACAGGTTCAATCCCAATGAATTTGATTGGTTTGAAATCTTTGAAGTTGTTGGATCTAAGTGGGAATAATATTGAACCTCCACTGCCAAAATTTAGTGAAAGCGTGAAGGTTGTTATAGATGGGAATCCTCTATTCAACACTAATCAGTCTGCTACACCTTCCTCAGGTAATAATTCATCCTCATCAGGGACTTCAAGGTCTCCACCCAGCAACCCTTCTTCTCCACCCAAAGGCTTGAAACTTGTTGGTATTGTAGCCCCACTTGCATGTTTTGCTTCCTTGGTTCTTCTGGTTGTTCCTCTGTCTATATGGTACTGCAAGAAGAGAAAATGCACCTTCCAGGCACCGAGGTCAATTGTGGTTCACCCCAGAGACCCATATGATCCAGAAAACATGGTTAAGATTGCAGTTTCTAATAACGTTAATGGAAGCTTATCTAATCTAACAGAGAGTAGTTCTCAGAGTATACATAGTAGCAGAATGGGAGAATGTCATGCGGTTGAGGCTGGGAATTTGATTGTATCAGTTCAAGTTCTACGTAATGTGACCAAGAATTTTTCTCCAGAAAATGAACTAGGACGTGGTGGTTTTGGGACAGTTTATAAGGGGGAACTGGATGATGGTACAAAAATAGCAGTCAAGAGAATGGAGGCTGGTGTGATTAGCAACAAGGCTTTGGATGAATTTCAGGCTGAAATTGCAGTTCTTTCAAAGGTCAGACACCGGCATCTGGTATCTCTGTTGGGATACTCCATAGAAGGTAATGAGAGGCTTCTAGTGTATGAGTATGTGCCTCAGGGGGCTCTGAGCAAGCATCTTTTCCACTGGAGGAGTCTGAATTTGGAACCTCTATCTTGGAAAAGGAGGCTCAACATTGCCTTGGATGTTGCTAGGGGAATGGAGTATCTTCATTCTCTAGCTCATCAGAGCTTTATACATAGAGATCTTAAATCTTCAAATATACTCCTTGGTGATGACTATCGAGCAAAGGTTTCAGATTTTGGGTTGGTAAAACTTGCCCCTGATGGAGAGAAATCTGTGGTGACGAGGCTTGCTGGGACTTTTGGATATTTAGCACCAGAATATGCTGGTAAGTAATCTCTTCTATAACTACTGTCCATCTATTATTTTCCATTTCTAATACACATAGAAGTGAGCTTTCTTAATATTTGGAGAAATATGAAAAGTCATATCATAAAAAATTTGAAGAAGTTCCACAATTTGTGCAAAATCTGCTTCAGTTTTGAGCAACCAGTCCATATAAATTTAGATGAATAGGAGGATATATCATCTTACTTAGTGTTGTATTAAAGGAATAATAGCATATTATCGTATTACATTAACTCTTGTATAATGATCAAGATGTAACACAAAAGAACCTGATTTAATTCTTGACAACTCTGTTCTGGAGACAAAAAGATCAATGAGTTAGCTCCAACTAGAAGATCACCTAAGCGAAGTCGATTAGATCCTATGTTTTGAAATGTGGAAGCATGATGCAAGGTGTTCTACCATCCTAAGGTGTGAGGCACAAACTAGAATACAAGAGGCATAAGCTTCCTGAGCATGGATTTTTTAATTAACAAATAATTAAAATATCCCATAAAAATAGGAAAATTTATTAGAAATTAGAAATTTCATATTTTCAATTTCTATCAATAATAAAACCATCATATTCAAATATAGAATTGAAGTATCCCCGCATTAAGGATCATTATCCATAATTATACAAGTATCATTAGCCATGAATGTGTCACTTAATCAAAATTTTAGAACTAACAATTCACATAAATTGCACAACATTAATGCAAAGAAGTGTATCATCTCTTATTTAATTGAATATAATGCATTAAAAGAAATCAAAGCTTTGGTGCTTCTATTTCTTTTTATAACATTTTATTGTAATATTACAATAAACAAATTTGGAGGATTTCCATCCTCTGTTTTGCATTGATATATAATTGGAAACATGATATAATGGTTCCCCAACTTTAATAACATATTTTTATTAACTAGCTTAAAAGGTAAAGAGCATATGAGGTGTATGACTCCTGTATAAAGGTGCAAGAATCATACCTTTACTGGAGGCACATGCCTTTATACTGGAGGTATATGCCTTTATACTGGAGGTATAGCACCTCACCTGGAGTCATGCCTTCAAGCACACCTCCAGGAGCTTTTAAAACACTGATGAGATCAGATGATCCAAAAATTCTAAACTGTTTTTCTTGTTTGATGTATTTATTTTCATTTTTAAGGGTAGCTTATATGCATAGAAATATTGTCCTGTGATGATTTCTCAGCTAAAGAGATATCCATGTAAATATTAGTGAGATACATACTGCAGTATCATCACAGTTTGGTTTAATGTATGTAATTGCCTACTAATTTTTATTTCCATTGGTCAATATGTGCAGTCACAGGGAAAATCACGACCAAAGCTGATGTCTTCAGCTTTGGAGTCGTGTTAATAGAGCTTTTGACTGGACTGATGGCACTTGATGAGGAGAGGCCTGAGGAGAGCCGATATTTGGCTGCATGGTTCTGGAACATCAAATCAAGTAGGGAGAAGCTAATGGCTGCAATTGATCCAGCTCTTGGTGTGAATGAAGAGACGTTTGAGAGTGTATACATCATAGCTGAACTGGCTGGGCATTGCACGGCAAGAGAGCCCAACCAGCGTCCTGATATGGGCCATGCAGTGAATGTACTAGCGCCATTAGTTGAAAAGTGGAAACCATTGTTTGATGAAACTGAGGAATATTCAGGCATTGATTACAGTCTACCCCTCACTCAGATGGTGAAGGGCTGGCAGGAAGCTGAAGGTAGAGATAACAGTTATACCAGCCTTGATGACAGCAAGGGAAGCATCCCAGCAAGGCCCATTGGTTTTGCTGAATCCTTCACTTCTGCTGATGGTCGGTAAATCATAGTTTAAATGCCATTCAGCAATTGGTGATTTGCCACTCTTTGCATTTTAGATCTTTGTCTAGTCAGTCTAATCAGTGAAGGTTTAGTGGGTTTGATGGATAGAACCATAGATTCTTGTTTTTAGGATTTCCCATGTATTTTCTTTTTTTCCTTTACTTTTTCGTTTGTTTTCCTTTTGAGAGTGAGAATGTGTGGAGTTGATGCTGTATATAGAAGTATAAAAGAGAACTTTGTTAAGTTCTCTCCTGATTTATATTCATATGTTCCACGTTTTCAGTGGTGTGCTTGCTAAAAGATTTGTCATTCAGTTCTGTTTTGATGTTAAGAATGCTTCTGTACTATTCTGTTCTTTGCATCTTGTTCTCCAACTCATTGTTCTAAACCAATCAATAAGCGGGAACCTTTTGGTTTGGATGAGGCTTAGCCCCAGCAACAAGACTGACTGTACCACATATACCCATTTCTTTTATCTAATTCCATTTGTCTGGATTAATGAGAACCATGCTTATAAACAAACTCTGCAATCTCTGTGAACCATAGAATAGAGTTGTAGCACCAGGTCTATTCTATCCAGCACAGAGCTATACTTGGAACCAGAAACCAGTGGTCCTTCATCCCTTTAAAACTTATTATGCATGGGGGGACCCCCGGCCTTGGAAACTGTATCATCTGAATCATTTCTTAATTACTCTCTGCTGTTTGTTATAAAGATAAAGCTCCATTCAAGTTTAAACATTCTGGAGTTGGCAAAAAAAAGGTTTAAACGTACCAAAGAAAGAGAAACCAATTCTGCAGGGTCCCTAGTACCTTTTGAGTTACTGTAGGTATATTTTCTCAAAAACATAAAAAAAAATTAATACCTCTTCTCTAATTCTAGTTTCTATAAAAAAATAAAAGCACCTTATTACTCAAATAATATAGATGCTGAAAGAGTTAATATGAAATTTAATAAAATTTTTTAGTGTTTTATACGGGGCATAGCTGCATTGGCAGCTGTTAGTTTTTCATTATTTTTTGACTAAGCTTTCAATTGAAGAAACCCAATTACCTACATCCACATGCATCAAAATAAGCACCTCACTAACAAATAGAAGGTTGACGTATAAAAATCTAAAAGAAAAACAAATCATAAAAAAAAAAAGAATTTCCTACTTAAAAATTGTCTCATTTGTGGACAGATTAAGAAGTTTGAAATAAGAAATTAAATGAGGTTGCATGGCATGCCTTTTGACAGTTGTTTACCAATAAGAAGCTAATAGCTGTCTGATGTGGACTTCTTGATTCTAACATCTTAATTTGTATTTTATTGAGGCCAGTTGAAAAGAAAACGAAAATAAGAAAAGAGTAGCTTTTGCAAGAATGACCCATGAAATAGTTAAGAGGAAGTGAAGTCTCTTTCATTGCGTATCTGTTGGTTAGATATAGATAACGCCTTATTGGAATGACTTGTGATCAAATGACAAAAGAGAATGCCGTCTTGTGACATTTTATTATTTCATTGGCTAAAAAAAAGATTTTTTTTTTTTTGGTCAGACTCAAAGCCAATGACAGAAACTGAGGCTAAAATGGTTCAGACTTCAGCTTAAAAATTTTGATTTCAAGAAAGCTAGAAAAATTAAGAGCTTTGTTTTGCCACATGGCAAGTGTTGCTGATGTGGAAAATATGCTAACCCTTTTTGCCTTTTTGGGTTAACCACCAAAGCTTAGCTGGCCCGTCAAAGATCCCCACGTCACAAATAAACTGCGGTATCATATTAATTAATTATAAATTATTTAAAAAGGGGGGGTTTGATTCACTGAAGCATTCCCCACATGAGGGGCCACTTCTCTGTTGTCAAATTGGCAGTTGTTGAGACCCATACGCCACCAATCTATCGGTAGATTGCATGTGAGGGTATCCTCATTAAGAAATGAATAAATAAATAATTGATTGACGATTGATATTAAAAAATGGCGTTTTGGACAATGAATTAATAATTGAGATGGTCAGTTGGTATCTCTCCAAAACTCTAATATATTAAATTCATGTAACCACAAATAAAGTTAGTAAAGTTTATAGGCATTTTATTTTATCCCCACCTCTGAAACCTGAATTACTAATTAGTCATATTATTGTGCTGTCTACCAAAAGAAAACAAGAAAAATCACTCTTGTGCTAGAGTGTCTTAGGGCATCTTAGACGAGCCTCAGGAATTCGAACAAATAAAGGTCATGTGAATATTTATGGACACCAAAACTTGCCTGTAACTCTCTTAAAAAGGAGGGAGTTCACATGGATAAGGAATCTTAGCTCTTTAAGCGGCTATCTGAAAGATAATGGATGTCTGTGGCCTCACCTTCTATCTACCTTTGGGGATGTTTGTGGATGATGGTTCGCTGCCATAATGCCAAAAGAAGTTCTTTTTCATGGATTAATGGTAATTTCTTTGCATTTTTATCCAATTTCGACAACTTACTACTACAGAAAAACTTTGAACCTGGAGAGGAGTTTTATCTAGGGGGGCTTTTCAAAATTAATGTGTTTATGTAAATAACGAATTATATAATATTCATATGGTAAATACAAAAATAGACTCAATTCATAAAAAAAAATAAAATAAGGGCAAATTAAAGGTTACTACCCTGTACTTGGGTACTCGGTAGTGGCAATTACACTCTTAACTTTCATTTGTAACAAAGACATCCTTCTGAACTTTCAGATTTCAATAAAGATCCTCTCTCCATTAAGTCGAGTGACGGAAGAAGTTAATTGCAACAAAAAACTTAGAAACTTCTATGAATATCAATTCAACCAGTAACAAATGGAAATTCAAAAAAAAAAACACTAAAATGAACCCCACTACTCATTTTAGAAAATTTTTAGAATAAAGAGTAATTCAGGGATTTAAAATAGTTTAAATAATCACATGAGAATCTCTTCCAAAGTTAATTAACCGAATGCCAAGAGGGTCTTTGTCAGAACATGAAAGTTTAGGGAGTCTTTATCACAATGTTCTAATCGAATATAAATGATGTTGAGCAATAATGTTTATAAGAAATTTTATTGGGTTATTTTATGTAAAATAAAATTGGTGAGCAAATGATACTAAACAATGCACAAAAAAACTGTTTTGAGAAAGCGTATGTAAAGACTACCCCATTTCACCCCTTCAGGTTTTTTCTAATCATGGATGGGGGTATTAGCTGGATTGTCTCAGTATTGATGCCGAATTAAATCCCGCAATCATCACTTTGGAAAATAAAAGGTGGTAAAGGGGAAAAGGAGAAAATTGTTGCTGATTAACCAAAAAAAAACACTAGGCATAAGCCTCACAAACAGGGGTCCGCATGCGCCCATGGGTGGACTGGATGCGTGAACCCATCAATCACGTTTGACCACGTCGTCTAGGGAAAAGAAGCATAACGTTAACAGTGTTAACATGGGTTCGGTGGTTCAACCAGACAGAAACCGGCCACCGAACCCTACCCACACACGGCAACCATACCACAGCAAGTGATCCAAACCAGCAGCCATTGGCAGCGACAGCGAGAACTCTGGTGGTACGTTTTCTGGCCTCCTCTTCTTCTTCTTCGTCTTCTTCTTACAAGGGTCTTCTTGTGTTCACTTTTCAACAGAAACCACCTACTGATGGCGTGTTTTCTCACATGTCATCTATTTATTATTTTCAATCCCATCTATCTTCTACCTTCTATAAAAGCCCCACTTCTCTATCCTCCTAATTAATCCAAATCCAGTTCACCTCTCTGTCTTTACTCTCTTCCTCGCTCTCTTTCTGTATCCCCCTCTCTCTCAACTCTCAATCAAACAAACCACTACTTGTTCTTTTTCTCTGTTGATCAAACTTCAATTTTCGGGAATGGATGCTAATGGGAGAAGTTGTAGCTCCGGAACTCAAAGTGAAGAAGAAATAAACCTGAGGAGGGGTCCATGGACTGTTGAAGAGGATCTCATACTCATTAATTACATTGCCAACCATGGCGAAGGTCACTGGAACTCCCTCGGCGATGAGCAGCTATATATTACAATCAATCAAACTCACTGTTTTACGGTTTCTTTCTTTTCCTTCTTAATTTGTCTCTGGTTTAAAACAGGGAGTGTTGTAGCCTGGGACTGGTTTGAAAACCAAGAGTTTCTAGCTAGACCCAAAGTCCATGAGCAAAATAAATAAATTAAAAAACGGGCAAGAGAGAAATGATTAAACATTCAGAATGGCGTAAAAAATCGAGGGTCCAAATGCTGATTTCGGTACTCAAAGCAGTAGTTTGTTCTTCTTCGGGAAGAAGAGACCAGCCAACTTTGGTTCAGAGAATATGCATATAGATGATCAATCACGACCAATAGAGAGGAGGAAGAAGAAGAAGGAGAAGAAGAAGAAGAAGAAGAAGAAGAAGAAGAGGTCAGAAAATTTATCCTTGGAGCTCTCACCATGGCCGCTGATTTGGTAGCCGGTTTGTCTGGTTGAACCGTCGAACCCATGTTAACACCGTTAACTTTATGCTTCTTTCCCCTAGACGTGGTCAAACGTGATTGGTGGTTCACGCGTCCAATGCACCCGTGGGTGCACAGAAGGCGGCGGACTCCATAAACAGGTCACATAATTAAAGGAAAATACATTTTATTTAATTTAGAAATTACATGTAATTTAAATGAATAATGTTATATAGGAATGTTCATCCAAAAACTAAAAAATCATTAAAATATATTTATACACATTAATGAAATAGATGCAAATTGATTAATTATCTTTATCATCATTTAAGCCTTATTCCAACTATATGGGGTTGGTAAAATGAATCTGGTTTAACCATTCTATTCTGTTTAATCCATATCAAAAATGATTTAAGGTTGACTTATTCCAACTATATGATATGTATCTTAGAAATTCCAACTTATACAATTTTTTCAATTATATATTTCTATATATTATTTAATATTTTAATTTCCAATAAACAACAATATATTTATTGTTTACACAAGTAAATATATTATATTACAAAATATTTAAAAATATAAGATTTAAGGTGACTTATATTTTTGTTATTTTAAAGAAGTAAAATAGTGAAATAGAATAGATGATTTTTTTGACTAATCATATATTTTTGTATTTATTAACACTTTAAATAAATAATAGCTTGCTCCATTGACCAATCAATAGAGTTGTGTGATACCCACATTCCATATGTATGCATAACCAACTCATCACAGATTCACAATACGTTTCAATTTACAATTTTACTTGATAAAATACAACAATACCCGTATTTTGAACCTTGTTTATAACCCTAGTTTAATAGGATTTTGCTTTTCTTAACAAAAGGCCCAAAAAAAAACATTACTTTGATCCTCATGACTGGCCGGCATCTAGGGGTGTAAACAGTCGAATTCAATTAAATATTCAAATATTTGATTTGATTTAAATTTGACTAATTAATTATTTTAAATAATTAATAAATATATAAAATAAATATTTTATTTATATAAAATATATAATTTAAATATTATATATATAAATTATATAAAACATTTAAAAATTTTATATATTATATATAAGAATTAAATAATCAGTCGAATTCAGATATTTATCGAATCGAATCAGGTCATCCGAATTCGAATCCGATTAATTATTCGATATGAATAAGATGTCCAAATTCGACCGATTAGATATTCAAGTTATCCGAATTTGATTCAATTATGTTGAATCTCGAATTCGAAATCAGATTTTCGAATACCGTTGACACCCCTACTAGCATCACCATCACATCTCCTTCTAAAGCGGAGGAGCTCGGATCTCTATCCACAAGGATCCTACCCATACCTACCCACAAGACATTGCAACTACTACCATCCATGGGGAGATGTTCCCAATTAAGGGTGGATTCGAGCCGAGTCGAGCCAAACCGAATAACTAAAGCTCAGCTCAAACTCTACTTGAGAAAAATGTTTTATAAAAATAAAAAATTATATATAAAAATTATTTTTATTTTATATTTAAAAATATTAAGAATTATAATAATTAGTTATTATTATATATAAAAATAAAAATATTATGTATATATATATATATATATATATAATAATTAGCTATTCAAGCTCGGCTCACGAGCCTCACGAGCTGAGCTTTATTAGACTCAAGCTTGGCTCGATTAATAAACAAGCCTGTAAATTCGGCTCAAAGCTCGGTTGAAACTAAGCCAAGCCTAACTCGAATAACTCATGAAGAATTAGGCTTGTGGCCACCCTATTCCCAATGTACAGCTGTAGTATTATGTGGGTAGGATTCCGTGGATAGGAGATCCGGATTGTGCAAAGCGTGGTCACAATTGTCAAGATCATGGTGAAACGAATGGTTGATTAACTGAATCAAAATATGTACCCTTGTGGTTTTAATTGGTCTATTCGAACAACTGCAAAGACCCAGAGCGAAACCAAAACAGAACTGGCGAACTTCCTGAAACCACGTGTAATTGAAATTCAATAGCAGCTAATATGGCCATCCTCCTTGCATTCAAAGTACGTTGTTTTTCTCGTCTTTTTTTTCTGTTCCACCTCCCATTATTCTACAATGGTACCTAATTTCACTTCACTAACCCACCCATACAACATATTTCTTCAATAAACAGCCAACTTTCAAAGTACAATCGTAATGCTTTTGAATTAAAACATAAAATCTGCACACCATGGTTACATGAAATGTCAATGAAGCTCCCTAGCCACGAACCGATGCTCGAGGTACAGCAGGTAAGCCTAGTTCATCTTCAGCCTGTAAAGCATCACAGTTTAAGAAAGGAACATGAAAGCATAAAAGCGGAGAATAAAATGGGAGTGAAAAGTCAATAGCCTTCGTGGAAGAACTGCCATTGCATTAAAATGGTCTTCTCCATTATAGAGAAACATAAACTTGCAACTATACAGTGTCTAGAAATTATGGAAAAAATAAGACGACACCATATAAGAAATCCAACGGGTCCTTACTATGCCAGGTTTTCAACCATAAATTTTGTTAGTGTCCTTGATAATTTACTTCTGGGTTGTAATTAGGTTACCAAAGAAAAGGTTGTAATTACAATATTTGCTATATTTGCACCTCTTGTTTTCAAATTTTATACAAAATAGCAATTTCATGTCAGTTTCACATAACATTTTTTTTTTGGGTTTTGTGACGTCAAATCACCATTTTCTTTTGCTTTCATAATTCTGTAAAGACCAGGTTAAGCAGCTTGCTCCATAAACCAGTAGGAATAAAAAAGAAACTTTGATAACAAGGCTTATGATATAATAAGCTCTGTATCAGTGTTATCGAAGTGATGACTAGTCATAACGAGTAGGTTAATACTCATGAAGTGGTTGCCTAGAAGAACTAAAATCATTGATCAGGTCGACTAGTCAACCACAAAATCATTTAAAGTTTTATTTGTTTTGTTTGTTTGTATCTCTAATTATTTGAAATAATACTAGAATATGTTTACATTTTGTTATACTCGTGTTGTTTCTTCAAATATTTGTGATGGAACATGATAGGATGATGGTAAAAGGGCAGCCACTCACGAGGTTCCCACCAATGCAGGGTCTGGGGAGGGACAGATGTACGCAGTCTTACCCCTGCACATACAGAGGCTGTTTGCAAGATTTGAACCCTGGTCACCCAGGTCACAATGGAGCAGTAGAGGAGTTCTTTCATTCAAATTAGTGGTGTGTTGGGATGGAATTGCCACAAACAAAAAGGCATATCAAATAGTCTAAGGTTGCACTTTTTCTTTGGACAACAAGGTCGGGATTCTTTTTCCTAGCCCGTTCAGCCCAACTTTTCTTTGTCTGCAAAACAAAGACTTAAGTATGATCTCTAATATTAACTTATTTATTAAGGCATCAATATCATAAATATAGAACATATCTTTTCTTATTGTCTAGTCAATGCATAGGCACAAATTTGACTTCACATTGACTAGAGAGGAAAAAAAGACTAGTCATTGCTTCACTAACATTGATAACCCCACATTTTTTTAGTGAAAAAGAAAGTAAAGAGTCCACAGGAAATAGATTCTCTTTGTGTGGGATGGGGGCTTGTTGTTGGAATGGAGAAAAGTAAAAGTCATGAGGGTTAGAAGGTTAACGGAGGGTGATTGTTGTTTATGTTCCATAACAAACAGTATGTGGAATGGGTTTTAAAGACAGAAAGTTCAAAGAAAGATTTTGACCTGAGATTAGATTGGTGGTACCCAGCGGCAGAGGAAGTATCTGCAAATAGGAGAAGACACACGATTTGGATTGGGGTGGCAGGTATTCCATTGCATGCTTGAAGCATCTAACCTTCAAAGAAGTGGGAAATCACTGCAGCAGATTCTTTAAGTTTAACGTTAAAAACAGATCATGGGAGAAGTTGGACCTTGCAAGGATAATGATTGAGGTGGTAGGCACTTCAGCTATTCCACATAGCCTTGACCTTATTTTTGCAAGGGAAATGCATGTGTTGAGGATTCTGGTTGAGGGAGAAGATGGGACCTTTCTTAGAGTGGAGGGGAAGGGATCAAGTGGAGCAAGAGACAATGTTGGTGAAGGGGTGAGGAAGGAACCGGTGGGAAGGGCACTGTTGAAGATCATACTGGCTTCAGAGCTGAGGAGAGGTTGGAGAAAGAGAGGAATTCGAAGAGTTGCATGGAGGAAGAAGAAGATGAGGTGGCAGTTTCAGAGGGAGAGAGGATAACGTGGAGGGAGTGGAGTTGGGGGGTTATCAAGTGGAAGGCAGGTGGTGGGTGAGTCATGTAAGGTGGTGGAAGACCAACAGTCAGGCGAGATGTGGGGGAGAAGGGAGAAGGAATAGTCACTAGTAGGTGGATAAGATGGATTTAAGGGGTGGTGCCAAATTTTTCCAAAGAATGAGTAAGGACTTTAAAGGGGAGAACCAGAAAAATAAGTTCGGCTTATGAAGGGCACTTTTGGGAAAAAAATGATTTATGTTGGGCTGGAGGATCCAAAATGGGAGAAATAATCATAGAGGGCTGGTGATTGGAAAGGATAAATTGGTGTGGGCTGTAACAAGGTTCGAAAAAGGTAAGAAAATCTCAACTGAAGGAAGGAAGATGAAGGCAACAGTGAATGATTCTCATCAGAAAGAAGAAAGCTCAACAAGAGGATCATCGGCTGAAGCCCAATTGCTGGAAAATCAAGTTGCAGTTGAGAACATTTATTTCTGGTGGCGATGATATCTCAATCAATGTCACTCAGGGAAGTTTGGAGTGTGAGGTGGAGTGCAGAAAGATCCCCTCCTGGATTGAAGACCCTTGAGATGGTTGAACAACTAAACACTATGTAAGTTCAGTTCCTCTTCCATCTTCGTCTGGGCTGATAGCCTCCAACATTGAAGATGATATTCGGAGAAGGGGAGTTGAAAGGGGTGGTTGGGAAAACAATTTGAAGGAGGAAATCACATGGGGAGTGTGACAGACTTGAGCAACAGCATAGACTGTATAATTGAAAGAGAGGATTTTCATCACAGGGAAGTGGAGGGATTGGAGCTGCAAGGGAAGAAGTGGATGTTAGGGGGAAAAGGGAAGAGGAAGTAAGGGAGAGTGGTGAGGTGACAGAAGGCCTCAAAAGAGGGGAATTTTTTTGGCAAAGAGAAAACTGGTGAAGGGAGGGTGGAGATTGAACAATTGGTGGAAAGACAAGTGGATGTAGGAAAATCACTTGGATTATTCTTTTTGGATGAGGAGAGGGCAGTCAAAAAGGCAACTGAACAGTTCGAAAGGAATAGGAGGGAAGAATACGATAAAAAGAAAGCAATTGGGGGAAGGAGAGGTGTGAGAGGAAGGAGAAGGGTGGGAAGAATGAATGGAATCGCCTGAAAGCTAATAAGGGAGGGGTGGGGTGTTTGAAGGTGAAAATGAAATTAATGTCTTGGAATGTAAGGAGATTGTGAGAAGGAAGGAGAAGAGTTCCAGTGAGGTTTATGCTGAGATGCATAAGCCAGACATTGTGTGACTTTAGTATGAAGAATGAAATCTGGGGTTTTAGTAATGGGGAGTGGGTGGCGATGGCCGGTGAACACAGAGGGCCTACAGGGTGGGTTGGTGGTTACAAAGATAAAGCCTGGAACAAGGAAGGTTAGGGGCAGCTATTGGTAAATCTGCATCATTTTGGGTCCTATATTGCCAGAATTTGATTAGGTAAATAAGGACCTAGGGGACAGTTTTGGGGAAAGTCTTAGGGTTACAAATATGTAACTTGCATGATTTGTTCTGAATTGGTGTTTCTCATTTTGTTGTTATATTTGTAGGTGTTTCCTTAACACCTACCCTGATTGTACTTTTTTTTTCTTTTAATGATTTTTTTATATTTACTTATCAAAAAATATAAAAACAGATACCCAACAATCAAAAACAAGCTAACTAGCATCCATCTACATATAAACAGAAAAGATGAAACAAAATATCTGAATTTTGTAGGAGCTATTGGATAGATACAATCATATAAAATTAAATAACAAAGAAAACAATGGTTTGCTTCTTTCTCAAGGATTAATTGTCTTCTAGGATGCCATGTGAAATAGAATCATTTCACTTCAGTATTGCATGGTACTTGATCCCACGTTGTTATCATATGAAATAGATTTGAGGGAAGTTCGTTTTCAGAAATCCTTGAGTTCTTACTTTAATGTTTACATAGATGTACCTGGGCTCTATTAGGTGGGACTGCCGCATGTCCAGACGGTGCTGAAGGCAAGTTGAGTTCCTCTTCCACATTATGTTCCTTCTCAGGTTGAAGATAACTGGGTACCCCATCCGACTCTGTCTCCATTCCCATATCAGCTTCCAAGGCATCAAGCTCTGAAAACACCGTGACAAAATAAACAAGAAAAAAAAAGGTGTCACTAGACATTAACAGAATTCCCTTGATTTTCCTGATAGAGAGAAACCTACGAATATCTCTTTTATGCTAGGAATTGAAAAAAAATTATCAAGATCATGTGAAATAAAAAATATTAGTTTACCACCCATGAGTTCCTCCTCATCAATGTCATCAGGTACATTATAGCTTCTACCAAGAGATTCTTGAATTTCAGTACTTGTATCCATCAGGTCCATCATTTCATCTTGCATGCTCTACACGTCACAAGAACCAGATGTCTAGTTTCTGAAATTGGCTGGGTAGAGGATAATAGTTAAGATGGAAATTAAAGCAGGCCAGGAAATACATACTTCTATATCTTGAATCTTCACGGTCTTCATCATTCCTTTCAACTCCTTGTTTGCAGATTTCAAAGCTGACATCTAAGTAGCAGCACAAAATTAGCATGTCATGAGCTTCTACTTAACACTTAATACCATACCAAAACATCAATAAATGGGAGAATAAAAGGTGTTGATTTGGGTTCATCCCACTTCTTTTACAAACTGTGCACATCTGCAGTCAGAATCCAAGAGATTGTCCCATTTATACTGATAACAATTAGTAAATAGAAATAATATTTGATAAATAATAGAGGGTGTCCTCAGTAATATCAACTACAAATTGTAATCAAAACGCAACCCTTAAATATGTGTGCTGTATCCTGACATTTGTGAACAGAGTTTGTCATGTACATGGAAAACCTACTAACAGCCTCAATCTTACCCGCACCCAATAGCACATTAGAGAAAATTTAAGAGAATCATTTAAAAAAAAATAGAAGCATTTTAATACATACAGTTTGTTGAGCATCTTTGATTCCCTCAGCGGCAAATGCAACCTGATCAAGATTGAAAGTTTGGTTGTAGAGCATATCACGCTGTCCTTCATACCTGATCAGTAACTAGATTAAGCGAACAAATATTGCAGAAAGAAGAAACATAGATAGGAAACTATTGCAGTACATCCTATAGGTCTGTTCATTTGATCATACGTGAAGTCAACATGGTGAAACCAGCATGTTTCTGCTCAGCTCAGCTTTGACTTTAACCATCAATCACAGAAAGGCTCATTCCCAAGCATTAGCATTTCATAATAAGTGGAGATGGCATCTAGCCCATTTAATGTTTTATAATCAGGAAAGCTAACATGATCAGGTCTCATCTGCAACCACTTCAAATGCTTCTGGTAAATAACTAAATTAAAAGTTTCTAGGGCCCTTCCCCTACCTCATGTGGCATAAATGGTTAAACTGCAGTTTGTTGGTATCCTCATTTGCAAACCCAAGCCAGCTGCAAATATGTATAAACTTCCTTAATAGCATCGTTTAGGCCTTCAGTGACGCCTTCAAAATGCAGATTCTACAATGGTCAAGGTGGTCACCTTTCTTAGAGGTGCACAAAGATCTAAGGGTCCATTTGGTTCAAACTCGGAACTGGAATTGGAATCGAAATCCTCGGAATCAGAATCGGAATGGTCTATTCCCATAGTCTGTTTGGTTCATGCAGGAATCGAAATGGGAATTGAAATCAGCTGGAATGGGATTTCATTCCCAAGGGAGGGGGAGGGAATGCCATTCCACCAGGAATGGGAATGGGATTCCTATTCCTCCCAACCAAACAGTTGGAAACAGAATAGCCCATTCCGTTTCCAATTCCAGACCCCTATTCCCGCAAACCAAACTGGATCTAAAAGTTGCATCACTCCCTTAACCATTGTCAGAGACATAGCTAATCTATACTACCTATAAAAGAGTGAATGCCCCTTCTTTCTGGAATTTTCATCGGACGTTTTCTACCTCTTATCTAAGCAGCATACAACGAGCATAAAGAGGGCACATATGTCCTTTACTCTCACTCTAAAAACTGCACACTTATAACTGTTCAAAAACTGCCCATGAATTGTAAATAGTTTTGTCTTAGAGATACTGTCATGTGCAAATGCATGTACGTGTTTACTAGTGTTATCCAAAGGAGCAAAATATTTTGGCATGGATCAATGAAACTTGCTCAGTATACTGCAATGAAACAATGGAAATTGTTTCATCCATCTCATTTCACATTAGATTGAGTCCAAGGGTCGAACTCAATCACTTGATAGCTTAGTCAGAAATCAACTGTTAATGGCCTGGAGGAATTGGGTGCAGAAAGTGGTTCTTTTCTGAATGGGGGCAGCTACATACCTGTGTAGGTTTGCAGATTGGAGATAGACATTTCTCTCAATCTTCTATATACAGTATGTATATCCCCCCATATACACTCATTCCATATACTATTTTTCTTATTTTGGGACAGGCAATGAAGAAACCAAAAGAGGAAAGGATATTTCATCTATGACAATAGGTAATGTACAGAGTGCTACTTGGAAAATGGTTGAGACATGGAATAGAAAGTGGTATTTGGACACGTCATAAATGGGAAATATAACTGAAATTAATATGGATGGAAAAAAATTGGATCACAGGGATTTGGGGGAGAGGGTAGGAATTGGAGTTCCAATTTTAGGCATTTAGATGTTTCCAACTGATGAATTAGAATATCTCAATATCCATGTATTTCCAATTCATGTAGCTTGTCAGTATTTGAACCTCCAGATCCAGAGGTGTTTGACGATTCAATTCCCATTCTGAATAGAATAAGAGATACTTACAACTTTACACTCTTGAAAGGTTGTTGTTACAGTGTAATGCCATAATATATAAATAGAAAAAAAAGGAGAATTAAATAGAATAAGAGATACTTACAACTTTACTAATTATACAATGTCATTGTATTTCATAATTTTACCAAATTTCTCCAAAAAAAAATTCTTTCTACTACTTTGGTTGGCATTAACAATGTCAATAAAGAGAACATCATTTCAACTACATAAATCTCCAGTCAAAGGATACCAATTAATTACATTGTCATTTCCAAAGGGCATGCATTTATTCTCTTTTTTTTTTTGTATTCTTAACCAATATTTCTCATTTATAACTCATTTTTACATGATAAATATATAATAGTAGGGATAATGCCCAATTTTTCTACATTTTTTTTGTAACTCTGATAGTAGGCCCCTAGATAACAGCTTAAATAAGGAACCAGAAGAAAAATTGCCTGATGAACGAAGTATCCTGTATCCAAATACAAGAATCAAGATTTCTGTAATTAAAGGAAAATAAATCTTTACGTTAGGATTTTCCTAATTTAAGTCTCTCAGTATTCTGTTATATGACTAATACAGTTCTTTGCAATGGATTTTTTGGCATTAAATGTCAATTTTTACTGCTCTTTAATATATTTTTATTTTACTTATAAAAAAGAAGGCTTATTAACTAATTCCATATTTTTATAAAACTTCCTTGATTACTTAGATTTTCCAAATATCTTAGCAAAATCAGTGAAATATCTCCAAAATTTTGCCATCTCTATATGGTGAAATGCCCACCAATATCAAAATTGTGAACCATGTTTCATACTTGTATCAGCCTTTATGTAAATTTTTAAATTTGTCAAACATTTTATCCTTGAATTTCATTAAGTAAACCCAAGTCTACCTGTACAACCATCATTAAAGTTAACAAACTAATAAATAATATGGAATAGATAGAACCCCAATCACCAGAATAAACTAGCGTGGAAGGAATAAAACACTACTATTACTCAAAGGATATGAAACTCTACAATGTTTTGAAAATTGACACACTTTAGTAGGGGCGCAACTTGGGCAGGACCAACCCAAGCCCAGACCGACACAGCCCGCAATATTACATAGTCTGGGCTTAAATTTTGGGTCCTCAGGCTGGGCTTGCACCTAAAACTTTGGGTTTTTTGGGCCAGGCCCAGGCCTATCACTTAGGTAGCCCAAACCCAGCCCAAGCCCAACCTGACTATGTGCTTACATATATACGTATATAGTTATATATTTGATATGAATATATAGGTATATATATTTGCACTAATACATGCATTCCATATACACATACATTTATATCAAATTTTAGTGTGAGCTGATTGACCAACCCGAGCCCAGACGGCCAGACCGAGTGTGTCAAATTTCAGTGCAGGCTGGACCCAGGTTGGATAGTTTGGGCTTAACATCAGGCTTGGGCCTTACTCCAATTCTTAGGGTTGGGCCTGGGTTGAGCGTAAACCCAGCCCAGCCCAGACAACTTACACCCCTATACTTTAGTTTCAAGGAACCAAATGAATGAGGGCAAAGTCTTGGCAAGTACAAAAAAGGAAAAGAAAAGAAAAAAGAAACACGACCAAGTCTTTAGTACAAACTAATTACTTGGTATTTATTAGTTATTACCATTAATATTAAATAATACTATTTAATCCTGCAGACCGATTAGATACTAGTGATGTAGTTGCTAAACCTGGAGGTACAAGCTACTAGCTTCACAACCACTCCCAAATCCCAATCACTCTCTCTGTAACTCAAGTTCCAAAGAATACAACAATAAAAAATTAAAAAAAAAAAAAAAAAAAGTGACACCAAAATTCAAACATTTTGTAATATTGGTGATCAAAAGTAGATCAGTAGTTAATTTGAAATGCACAACATAGAGTAATATTCCAATAGATAGGAATAATACCCTTTCCACCAATGGAAGAGACTTATCCATCAGGCAGAAAACATACCTATAATGTGGTCTAAAGCACCATTATCAAAAATCCATGACGGACTAGGAGTAGAACAAGTAGATAAATAAAAGGCAAATGTACATATTCCTTAGTAGGTAAAAGCTGAGGTAGTAGAGCTGTCCATTAGAAATGCCTTCCAATGAAAAATCTCCAATTTATCCTCAATAATAGGAGTCTGGATCACCTGCCAACAGAATACATTCTAACAACATACCAACATGATCTGACACCATACATCTCATATATGGCGTGTCCCACTTTTATAGTGGATCTCAGTCTCATGGTGAGATGTGCGGTGTTAGATCAAGTTGGTAGGGGGTTGGGGAATGTGTTTTGTTGGCAGGAGATCCCAACTCCAATAATAGACACTAACCTCTTGGAACCCCCAATTGTAAAGCAACAAAAAGATGGGATAGATGAATCTGTAGTAGAGATACTACTACTAGCATAAGAGTTCTACCCTTCTTATTAACCTGGGTGGCCAGCCATGTAATTTCCAACAGTAGTTCCTATCACGTCAATCTTTACCATAAAAGATACATATCTTGCCTCCTTTTCCCCAACTACCTTAGCAGGGCATTGTAGTAAGTGCAAACCTTTATAGAGGAGTTGCTCCATATTACTACATAGTGGTCCTCCTCTCCTCACTTTGAGGCTTGAGCCTTGCATATACTTAATTCAAGGTGGGAAGTTTTTCTCTACTTTAGATTTACACTCTAGCCATGTCAAATTTTGGGTTGAATATTGGTTACTTTCTACCTTATCCTTTAAGGAAACTGCATGCTCCGTGCACAATGGTGCATATTAGTCACAGTTAATGCTTCACTTAAGAATAGGTCTTGCTGTTGCGTCCCATATCTCCTTAGCAGCCTTAAGGAACAAGAATCCTTAGTATCTCATGTTGCACAGAATTCAGCAATAGGGGGCATGAACCTTAGATTCTTACCATGGGCTGGATGTCCCCATCTGTTTCCTTGGTTTTTCATTAAGATAACTGATAACCAAGTTTCCCATGCCTCAATAAACATCCATACAAACTGTGACCACTGCAAATAGTCGGTGTTATCTAATTTAACAGTGATAAGTAAAATCCCTTTATTCTCAAGTAAAGGAAACAGAGTTTATACTCTGTAGAATACCCTGGCTAGAAACCACTTCAGACATTTTACTAAAAGCCATACCACATCAATAAACACAAGTACATACCAATTGTGCAAAATAGATATTCTCCAATCAACAAAAATGTAGCCATACACAGACCTGGACCACTACTAGGAGAAATGCAGGACCTTGAGGAACCCAACAGGTCCAATAAGAACTCTCCTTGCCATTGCAGCCTATTGCAAACCAATAATAATCAAAGACTGATCAAACAGTCCAAAAAAGAGAGAATTCTGGTTAGGTGGTACATACGAACTAGAAAAAATTCCTAGAAAACTTAAAAGTGCCCCAAATAATGCAAGACTAGATTCACAGAACAGAGAAATATAGAGTGCATCAACTTTGCAAATCTAATTCAAAAACAGTCTACCAAATACTAATTGACCTCAAGAGTTTGAGAAAACAAGACAGGTTTTCTGCTATCCCTCAAAAAAAAATCATTCATCATCTGATTTTGAAACTTACATGAAAACCCTACACAAATTGAGATCTATCTGCTGGTATGATATGGCTTCTTTTGTATGCATTTTACATGTCTGGTACAGCTTCCAAAGGAAATGACAAAGCTAAACCTCACTTAAAATAAATTAAGAGGTAAATTCTTTTTCCTTGGAAGCATAAAGAACACCTGACTAGCTTAGGGTACCGGTTGGTTCCTATAAATAAAATACCCAGATAGAGAGCACCACTGAATGCTTGGCTCTTGCATGCACGTAAAATATGTGTTTCTAAAGCTACAATTGCATTCCAATTATTCAATTAAACATGCAAGAATAACATATTACAGTTATCACGAGTATAGTTACCATCAGATGGAATAGCATCAAAATGCACTTACATTCGCTTTTGTTTAAGGACCCTCATTGCCCGAGCTTTTACAGCTTCTTGAGCAGGACCAGGCCGTGTTTTCTTGATCTGCTCCTTATATCTACTTAGTTCAGCATCAAGCTTTTTTATCTTGTCATCCACAGTTTCACCTCTTTTATTAATCTGAGAAACAATTTAGATATCAGTCTAGTGGGTGAATAGAAATCATATGTTTTGGGCAATGTTGTAAATACTTTATAGACATAGCATGAATATGCTCTCTATCTTGTATAATTTGATGTATCATGTATATTTTCTGTTTGTTTTAATGAAATTATTGTTCTTTGTTGCCGATCAAAAAATATACACAAATAATGTGAATTTAGAAAACAAAAGGCAGATTTGGATGCATTTTATCAAGAAAAAAAATGGAGAAAATCATATCCAATACGAGCGAAAGCAAATCAAATTCCTAAAGATAGTCAAACAAGCAGAACAAGAACCAAATTCAGCAAGTAAGAAGTGGAAGATTTTAGACACAACATGCATTACCATATACTAAATCTCATAACAAGTGTCTTAAAAATTGCACTATAAGTTTAACGGCTTCGTTTTATTCATTTTTATAGGTAATGTAATTTCATTAAAAGGAATGAAGCAGAAAATCCAAGGAATGCATTTATCTTTCTTTTAGTAAAATTATGATCAATTGTGAAATATATATATACACACACACACAAGGAGAAAGATGAGATACATAATACAAAAACATAAGCCTAGAGAAACAGAAAAGCATGACCAAAATGTCACCATATACAAACAACATACGTTAAACATTCAACAACCTCTGGAGTCTGGAAATGTAATTTCATTAAAAGAAAGGAAGACATATTAGCTGCAGCCCAGTGTGAGGATTGTTGATGGAGTAATTGACATTTTTTATCAGCAAGCAGAAATATCAATTTATTAATTGTGGAAAAGAATATGTATGTTGATGTTCAGCATTCTCATGTGTTTCGCGAAGCTAATCAGGTGGCATACTGGCTTGCTAAGGAAGCTTCCAATGGCCTGGTTGTTTATGTTTCTCGTCTTCCTTGGCCTCTTTCTCTCAGTGTCTTTTCTGATTTTGGGGGATGTGCTACACCCTGTCTTGTGTAGCACCCTCCATTTTATCAAAAAAAAAAAAAAAGAAAAGAAAAGAAAGAAAAGTATGTGTGTTTTTTTGGGTCATTTACAAAGACAATATGCTTAATGTATTAACTAAGGCATTCCCTCTAGTTTGTATGTCACTAAAACACCCCCTATAGTTTGTCTTTACTTAATGCTTTGTCCATCAAGATCCGCTTTTACTTTCATTTGGGAACTATGAAATGGCATGGTCCCACAACCTTTTATTTCCAAAAATACTCCTGGTACTGTTCATCATCTTCACCCTTTTCAAACAGGAAGCAGAGCAGGGACCACGTAAGATCATCTCTCTCATACTCATCCCACTTCCTTCTCAAAGACAACTACTACCCAATGCTTTAGATGTATTTCCTGTCAGAATGGAATGTAATGGTTCACCATATTACCATCAAGCACCAAGGCCACAGTCTTGGGACTACGAATCCAGCCGGGAAGATTTATACCAACAAGCTTGAAAACGAAGAGCTTGAGAATAGTGGTAATTGGTGGGGCTGGTTTTGTGGGTAGCCACCTAGCAGATCGTCTTAACAGGAGGAGAGACTGTGTTATCACCATCTTTTTTGAAGAGTAAATAAAGATTTTATTAAAATAAAAAACAAGTACATTCTGTTCAGGTGTCAAGATAATACCTCACAAATCAAAGCAAACAAACATCAAATTTCAGTTCAGACTAAACTGATTCATATTACAAGTTTGAATCTCTAATATGTTCCAGAAATTCTCAGCAAAGTCTGAGGAACTGATTTCCTCAAATTCTTGAAGAGAAATGACCCAAGCTTGTGATGAGTTTGCCGACCAATGCCACCAACTTTTCAATGCTCCTCTCCTTTCCATCAAAGAGCCTCCTGTTCCTTTCCCCCCACAAAGACCAGCAGACTGCAAAGGGAGTGCAGCTCCAGGCAAGTTTAGCTTTCGAACTTCCTTTAAACTTTGGCGATGTAGAAAAGATCTCTGCTGATGTTGATGGTTGGAAGAGGGGCATCCCAAAGAGGAAAGAATAGAATCTCCAAATGAAATTTGCTAAGTGGCAGGAGAAGAACAAATGCAGTACAGTTTCCTCATCTGATTTGCACAAATTGCAGTAGTTAGCCAAGCGGAACCCTGTACTTTTTAGATGATCTGTTGTAAGAACACTATCCAATGCAGCCAGCCAAGCAAAAACTTCAAATCTTGGGGCACTGGATTTCCCCATTATCCCCTCAATTGCTCGTTGCTTACATTATCCTTGATGAGAGCCAAGTAAAATGACTTCTCAGTGAATTTTCCATTTCTGCATTCCTTCCACCACAGGCCATCTTCTCTAGTTGTAGAAATTCTGGTTTGTTCCAAACTGTCCAGCAAGATAACACATTCCTCCAACTCTTGGTCCCACAGAGATCTTCTAAACTTTGGGCTCCAAACCACCTTATCACCACTGACTTTAGAAAATTGGGCCACAGAGACCTGATGTTCAGTCAGCCTATGCAATCTTGGGCACAGATCACACAATTTCCCAACCCCACTCCAATCATCCTCCCAAAGCCTCACTCTGGTGGATCCAGTTCCTACATTGAAACTAACCCAACCTCTGAAATCCTGGTTGAAACTCATTATGCGCTTCCACACACTCACCCCATGGGAGTTGGATACCTACTTTGGTTCCCATCCAAATCTCACCACCCCATACTTCCGCACCACTACTCTTCTCCATAATAAATCCTTTTCCTTCTCTAACCCAAACCTCCATAGCCACTTTCCCATAAGAGCTTTGTTGAGAACTTTTATTCTTCTGAAACCCAACCCCCCTGAAGCTTTCAACCTGCAGATTTTCTCCCACTTTACCAAATGAAACTTCCTTGGACCCTTTGTCCCCTCCCAAAGGAAATCCCTCTAAATTTTTTCTATTTTTTTGGCTACAGAAGTTGGAATTTTCAGCAATGAGAGATAATAAGTAGGTAAGCTTTGAAGCACACTCCTTATGAGAGAAATTTTGCACACCCCCCCCCCCCAGTGTTTTAAAGCACAAGGCGCAAGGGTCAATTTGTGCCCAAGGCGCAAGGCGAGCCGCGCGCCTTTTTGAAGCAAGGCGCAGAAGTAAAAAAAAAAATGCTAAACAATCAAAAAAATGTCAGAAAAATCAAAAAATATTAAACATAATATTAATAAAAAAATATAAACTTTAAATTTTAAAATAAATGTTTTAAAAAATCTATTATCTTAACTTAAAATACATAAACATAACATTTAAAGCATATTAGAATGTGAATTTAAAAATAAAATCAAACATATAAAATATTTTCAAGCATGTAAATATTACATATAAAAATATAAAAAAATCTTTTTTTCAAACATATAAAAAAATCTTTTTTTCCTCAATTACTTTACTTAAAGTAGCTAATGTGATGTAAAAATATTACATTCCTGATTCTACGAGCCGCCTTTGTGCCACGCCGCTTGAGGCAAACCCAAACAAGTCCATGTTAGGGTCCTAAATTCTTAGTCCTCACACAAAAATTAATGATTTTATAATTTTAATAGCCTTTTAAGAAGATGTTTTAGTAGGATGAATGAATGAACAACATTACCAAATAGGGGGTCCTCAAATCTCCCCATCCCCACACTATATCTCCTCTTTCTTCCCCCTTTCAACTCATTCCTTCTTCTGACAGTGTTGGAATCCCCTCCCAAACACCCCCCCAAACTTTGCCTTACCCCTCTTAGCTCCTCCCAGAACTCCACTCTTTACCCCTCCTCATTTGGCCCATACACATTCGTCAACCCCCAAATGCACTCCCCATTTGTCTCCTACAATTATATTGATACTGAAAACCTCCCAGCCCACTCCCCAATCTTTCCAAACATTCTTGGATCCCACAGAATAAGTAACCCTCTCACCAACCCATCGGCTTTCAGTTCCACCCACTCTCCCCCATCCTTCCCCCAGATCTCTTTCATCACATCTATATCTGTGAGTAGTGTGGTAAGGCGACGTACGGGGATCTCCTTGAAGGACAAAGGAAAGCCAAGAGCAAAGGATAAGCTAAAGGCTAGGGTAAATAGAATGATAGAATGATGTCCTCGTTATGAGTTAGACCTCTAGTTATAGGGAGAGATCCCAGGGTCCCGAAAGGAATAAGCTAAAAGTGTTTGATTCCCACTAGATAAGGGAATCTTGGATTCGGTGTCAATTGTTAGGAAACACCACTAGGGTTTCACCACGTGTCTTATGAGATATCTCAAGGACGGGGTTTCCTTTCGTCTGAGGACTCAAATAATACACGTGTGTTACTTCCTTTTGTGAGTCTCTTAGACTGACGTAGCACGGATGACGTTAATACTTATCTCACATGTCTTTTCTAATCCTACTGGAAGTTTTGTCACGCACGTTATTAATGAAGCATGTGTTTCTTTACTCGTTTCTGACCTGCGATGAACTTGAGCTCATCACGGGTTTGTGAGGGCTCTGAGTTCATCATAGCCTCATGGCGGCTCATACTCATCGCATATGTGCAATGAATCTAGGCTCATCGCAGCCTTGCGATGGCTTTATGCTTATCGCAAGTTCGTTTTAGGCTCTGAGTTCATCGCAAGCTTGTGTAGACTCAGAGCTCATCACAAGTTTATGCCGAGTCCTGAACTCGTCACAGGTACCTTTGTAATGTTGGTTTAACACCATCTGAGTTACTATGGTCGTGGTGATCAATATGTACTTACAATGTCGAAATCCTCCAACTTTGTTTCCTACAAGAAGACGACATCAGGCTTCTGTTTTCTAATTAAGTTGTGTACCAAAGCTCTCTTGTTCTCCTCCCTTAACCCCCTAACATTCCAACTTAGTAGCTTCATCCTTCCCCATCCCCCCTCCATTATTTGGGTCCCCTCGGTTTAGTCCTCACTCTTTGACTACAACTTGATCCTCCTCTGCCCTTTCTTCATTCCAGATTTTCTCTTATTCTCCTTCTTTCAAAATGTTCGAAGGCTATTTTGGCAAATCCCTCTCCTCCCCAAGAGAATAGTCCGAGAGATTTTCCTAATGTAACCTCTTTGTTGACTATCTTGTTCAATTCCAAATTCTTCTCTACAACAATCTCTCCATATCTCCCCTTCCGCCTTGGCCTCTCCCTTCCCAACTCTTTCCACTACCTCTGAACTCCCTTCCCCTCCTAGTATCTCCTTCTACCCCCTATTTCTTTGCCAAAACCCAATAGCCTCCTTCTACTATACACCTTTTTTCACTCTCTGAATTCCTCTACCTCCCTCTTTCTTTTTCTTTTTCCCTCACTTCCCCTGCTTTCACCAACCCCAAGTTCCTCCTTTTCACCTTCTTCAGTTCTTCTCACCTCACTGGGGATAGAGGAAGTGGAAGCAGCAAGACTTACCTCTTTTGATATATCTACCACTGTAAGATCGAAAGACCAAGTCTCTGTCTCTATTTGTTGTATTTGCTCTTCGCTTCTAAGAGTTATCAATGTTATTTCCTTCATGGGGAGGAAAGAGATTATAGGCAAAACAATAAATAGGATATATCATCTTAAATGCCTTCCTCTCCTGTTATTAGAGGTGTAGCATCTGATTGAACCGTTTTTAGTTATTTCTTCACAACGGTGATTGTTGTTAACAGCAATCTCTTCCATGCCCTGCCTCATTTGATAATGTCTTGCATAAGCATACCAACAACTACATATCTGTTGAAGGCATTTTTTTAATCCAAATAATATTTAATAAATTAGAACTCAAATAAGTGGATTGGCTAATCTGCTAGCCAAATCATTAAAACTATAAAAGAGTATCCCGTATGGGAGTTCCCTCTCTTTAAGTGGGAGGGACAGGTGTCCTTCACCTAGGAGGTGGAGGTAGTTACATAACTACCCCACTCCCTATTTAAACTCCTCAAGGGGAAGCTAGAGACACAGAGAGACTCTTCAGAGAAAATTGTCACAAGAGATTCTTAAGAAAAACAAAGACAAGGAGAGGAAAAAAGAGAGGTGCTCAAGGGAAGGCAGGGAAGGAAAAGAAGTCTCGCTAATACAGGTAGGAAAAGGAACGTCCTCTCAGAGAACACTTCCTATGTAGGTCTTCTACTATGTATCCTTCTTTCTCTCTCTTTTATTTTCAGTTTTGAAAAAGGAGATAGAGGGAAATAAACCATCTACGACCAAGTACCTTTACTTGGTTGACTATAGTCCCTCTTCTAAGACAAAGCTTGGGATTAAACCATCTACAGTCTAATTCTCAAAGACTGATTATGGTTCCCTTCAAATGAGAATGAAGAGCAGGAGAATAAAATCGTCTACAATCAAATATGCCTACGGTTTCCTTCTTGTTTGCAAAAATCCAAAGGATTAAGGCTATCTAGAATCATAATTTCATTTGATTGACTACAGCTTATTGTGAAGAAAGGAGTGAGAAGGAAATCTTCTTTGTATCAAAAAGAAAAGAGAGAAATTTATTGTTGTAGTGTTTTGTTTTCTTCTCATTCTTGTACACTTGATGTAAAAGAAAAGCAAATGAAAAGCTCTTTTAAAGTACTCTTTTGTTCTGTGCATTCATTTCTCCAAGTCATAATCAAAAGGTGTTTTTTACTTTCTTGTGGAGATGTAATTAAGGGGAACAATCCGGATGATTCCCTAAATGAGCCTTACCCAAAATAATAAAAATTCAATCACTTGATTGCGTGAATTATGTTGCATGAGAATTTATTAAAATTTTCACTCCAACAGTATCTTCATCACATAAATCGGAAGAACCCCAAAATGAGATAAAGAATCATTAATTTATGAAGGTCTAGTCACACAAGGGAGATTTTCATTGTGTCTATATTTGATCACTGCCTAAAAGCTCATCTACACAGTTTATGAAGGCCTATAAATATTTCTTTACATTTTTGTACCCCTTCCAACGATCTTTTGCAGTCAACCTTCAACCTAGCCACCTCCATTCCAGTTGCTGCAGAACTCTGTTGCTGAAGTTCATTGATTTTCTTCACCAACACATGAAAACTGAAATATGAAGCATCCATTACATCACTAGTAGCCTAGTAGCTTCCTGAGGTACAGTAATGATCCCTGAACCAACATTTTCATTTGTGTAACATAAAAGGAAAATGGAACTACGTATGCCCTTTCTGGAGTTTCTTGAGTACCTCCCTTAATGTCATGGGTCTATCCAAAAACAGCATGCAATAGACCGTATTTTAAGGTGTAATGAAAAAATGCTAGACTGTTCAACAATGGAGCAAAAGCTGAGCACCACCACAGATCATATCTTGGCATTAGAGGCCCATTTGATTTCCCCAAGAGAGTTCAATGATTTTCTATCTATTTTAAGGTGAGAGAGGCCGAATTGTGCTCATTCTTCTTCTCACTTTGTTCATACACTTTATTTCCCAATCCTCCAAATTCTATTCATTGCTGATTATCCCAAGACTTCATCTCTTTTATTTAGTTTTTTAATCAATGAGTGGTCTAGTTTGTAATACACTCTATTAATCACCGAGCTAACAAATCAATAGTAGTTCAATCTAAGGATATAAGCTGATTTTCCTACTCACATCATAACTAAGAGGATCAGTTCTGGGGAACAATTCGTCCTAGGAGAAGGTATTCAAAGTTCAAATCTGGTGAAATTAGCCTTCTCCTTCTGTCCATCATATGCTTATTTTACATTCTAGATGGTGCAACTCAAGTACCGTTATTGGTTTATTATGTCTCAATTGTTTGCATGACATTCTATTCATAAATTAGTTAGCTAAATACCATTACTAATACGTCTGTATAACTTCGTTTCACAGTAAATCAATATTCACTGCCAAAGAGAGCACAAAACGAAAATTCAACAAAAAGGACTGCAATTTAAAGAGAGTCTTGTACAATAAAAGCTAAACCAAATTCTATGAAAAGTGACACAATTCAAGCAAAAGAAGAATCTTTGAATTAACGAAATCCAATGATGTCTGTAAAACTTAACTTCTTAGTATCCTACAACACGACCATGGAGGAAAAAAATAAATTACTAAAAAAAATAAAAGATCGTCAACCCTATTAAAGAAAACAAAATCAAACAAATAGAATTAATACGAACAGAAAAAAAAAATACAATAAGCAAGAGGTAATTTGATAACAAAAAACGTACCCTATCAGAGGAGTCCTGTATGGAAGGAGGGGGTTCTTTCTCTTTCTTCGCACCGAAAACTCTCCTCATCTTCTTTCCCTTTCTACCTTCTAAGTTGGATCAATCCAAACAGAAAAAAGAAAAAGATGCCAATCTGAAAAGAGACTATGGGAAGAGTTCTGAATTATCGTGAAATCCCTACAGATTTTTAAGACTGTAAGTAATTGTTCAGATTTCCTAGGGTTTCAAAGTTCTGGATGAACCAGGTCAGAATTTAGAAATTAATTTTTCAAATAATTAATAATTATTTACGAAGCTTCCATTAAAGAAAGGAAGTAAACAATCCGAAGGAAAGGATTTTAAAACGAAAAGTCGATAAACCATCCGTTCAGAGCAGGACTGGTAGAGATTATATACGAGACAGAAGGCTGACTCGCCCGCTGTTGTCGCTAACCTTGGTGGCCGTTGATAGTGGGTGATGATTGATGAATCCTTCACCGTAACGTGCGATCGTTTGTAGCCCGGCCAGGAAATTTCCCAATTTGGTCCCTCGGTTTTGTTCAGGCCCGGTCCTGGCCCCGGCCCCGACCCCGACCCGATTTGACGGAGCTTCGGATTTATCAAGTCTCAAGTCGCCAATTGGCTCAATTCTTCACTTCTTCCATAGACTTTCTCTGCCACTCTCTCAGCTACCTCTATCTTCCCATGAATCTTACACGCCCCCAATAACGCACCCCACAATGCTTCGTCGGGCTCCGCCTTCATATCCAAAATCAAAGCCTCTGCTTCTTCCACATGTCCCGCCCTCCCCAACATATCCACCATACACGTGTAGTGCTGCAACCCCGGCCTCAACCCAAACCTCCCCTCCATCATCTTGAAATACTTGCGTCCCTCTTGCGTCAACCCGGCGTGACTGCAAGTCGCCAAAATCGCCGTAAAAGCAACGCCGTCTGGCAATACTCCGGCTGCCAACATTTCCTCAAACAACCGAAAAACCTCGTCAGCAACCCCATGCATGCCATATCCAGATATCATCGCCGACCATGTGATCGAATTCTTCTCCATCATTTTGTCGAACACGCGGCGGGCGGTGGTCAAGTCACCGCACTTAGAATACATAGTAATCAACGCGTTACAAGTAGCGACGTCGGAGGAGAACCCGTTGACCAAAACGGCGACATGGACCTGACGGCCAAGGTAGAGTGCCGAGAGGCCGGCGCAGGATTTGAGAACCGAGGTTAAAGTACGCCCATCGTACTGCTTTTCCTCCTGGAGCATCTGACGGAAGACGGCGAGGGACTGACGGAAGAGGTTGAGAGAAGCGTAGCCTCTGATAAGAGAGTTGAAGAGGAAGGTGGACTGACGATTTGTACGGGAGAAGATGTAGGCAGCTTCGCGCATCTGTGCGCAGGTAGCGTAGGAAGAGACGAGCTTGGCTCGAATGAAGTCGTGGTGGGTTATTCCAACGGTCAGGATTCGAGCGTGGATTTCTCGAAGGCGTTTGAGATTCTTAGCGGACGAACAGGATTCGATCAGGGAGGCATAGAGGGGTATAATGCTGTGAAGATTGCACATGATAAAGAACACTGAAGCAGAGAGAGAAGGAAACTCCTGCGAAAAATTGCTTCGCTAATAAAACTCGGCATAGATATGGATGGATGAGGGTGGATCCATTTATTACTCTGGACTGGACCCACCACATAACGAGTCCGGCCCACTGGTGGCATATGATTCTAAATTTCTAAACGTGTCAATAACAAGATTCCAATCAAATGGATTTGCACAAGGTTGATTTCATGTCAAAGCACCTTGCCTACGATTTTGGAACTGTGTTACGTGATAAAATCATATTATATTATGTCAAAGTTTTCCCAACATGCACAATATTACACGATATCAATCTTAGGCCCCGTTTGGTTCGTGGGAATAGGGATCTTGGTTCGTGGAAATAGGGGTCTGGAATCGGAATCGGAGTGGACCGATTCCCAACTGTTTGGTTGGGCGGAATCGGAATCCCATTCCCATTGGCATTTCCCATTTGAGGGAATGGCTATTGAATGAAATCCCATTCCTGTCCTGTCTGAAGGAAACAAACTATGGGAATGGACCATTCCCATTCCGAGTCCGATTCCGACTGCGAACCAAACGGACCCTTAATGTGAGTCCATTATCCATAACGTGATTACCTTGGTCAAGTAGACATGTATGCAGTACAGAGCGGAAACATTACAAAAAATTGATGCACAAAATCGGAGCCTTTCGTTAAAGAATCTGAAACTGATTCCCTGATTTTTCTGGTTGAAAAGCTGCCATTTATCACATTAAAGATCAAAACACCTACAACACGTAAATTCCCTGATTTTTCTGGTTTTAGAAAACATTGCTTTTCACGGCAGGGATATTTTCAGAGAGAAAGAGAGAGAGAGAGAGAGAGAGAGACTCATGGAGTCTGGGGCTTCTTAGGGCTGCCACCGTTATGGTGCAGAGGATCAGGACCTGACGGAACCCTTCTTAGATCCCAACTAACCAAGTTCCCACCACGACGTCGAGAATCCAACGGCCTAAAACTCTTGAAAACCTCTTCCGAGCCATGCAAAAGCTGTTAAATAAAACATAGAACAGAAGAATATATGTAAATGCTATGGAAAAGAAAGAACAGAGGCCCAGAAATAAATGCGACCGAGATATAGAAAGAAACCTTTCGGCTTTGGTTCTCCGTCGAAGCTAGCTTTACATGAAAACAACCATACCTACTGCCACAACCTGTGTCAACCACCAACAGTTTGGTAATTGGTAATTAAATAAAAACAAGAGATTCTTTAAACAGAGAAAACAACAAGGAAACTATCAGTCAATCACAGACCCCAAGCTTCCTCCATGACGGAAACCACAACCACCGTCAGAACAACATACGCCAGCACCGCGACCAACCGAACTGCCATCTTTAACAACACACACACAGCACAGAGGGGGTTCGGGGAATATGGGAGAAGCCAATTTAAAGATGGGAAGCAAATAGAGTGAATGATTGCATAAGCAGCCATTTCTGGGAATGATTAAAGACGGACGTCGCATCGTTGCTGGTCGCCGACGGCCACTGGAGATGGTCTGTTCCGCTTTCCCCCCACCACATCATTCATCGATTCAATCTACGGCGCAGGCGCAGACCTTTCTCTGCCGGCCAGCCGTCACAGCCACGTCATTCAACACGTGCCTGGCGCTAGCACGTGCTTGTCATTCTCGTATCTGCATTCCGCAATTCTGTATCAGAGAGAGAGAAAGAGGGAGAGTGAGAAAGAATGACGCCAGCGAGCAGCGACTCTGGTATTTTCGGTTGTGGTGTTTTGCTTTTTTATGGGAGAGCGCGACAGCGCGAGTCATGTCTGGCTCTCTGAGATTTTGCTTCTTTTGATTGGAGATATGCGCCAATGGTTCTGCGTTTAAATATAGGAGAGTCGACGGCAATGATTTGGTATCAATCTCATCAAGCGACTGACTTACACTGAGTCGACTAACGTCGTCTTTTTTCGTTGATTCGGTATCCCTATCCTTTTGTTAAATTACAAAAAAGAACCCTGATTGGTTGCCAAATGCCAACCGAATCCGAGATGAGAATCAGATGGACTTAGGCTAGGTTAGGAAATCGGACCTGGTCCTGGGGCCACGGAATGACGTGAGTGGGATTATAGTCGGACATGATGGGGGCAGATAATAATGAGAAAATGACTAAAAAAAGTGGTTGACAAGAAAAAGATTTGTGGCTTAATGTTACTAGATTCGGGATATTATGGTGGTAACTACTGCAACTTTGCAGCTTTTTGGGAATTGCCTTTTGGGGCTGCCGGGCTGGGCATATAATTCGGTCCAAATCCTACCCGACAGATCAACCCGATGAATGCTGTGGCGGGCCTGGCGTTACGCCGGTCGCCGGGGTCATCATTTTCCCTTTTATATTTTGTCATTTTAACCACATGGCCCATATACCAGTATTATTTATACATAAATATATACATGTTATGGGATAGGTTTAAACTTGTGACCATTCAACCGATATTAGGGGTGTGGTATGCGGGTCGTGCTGGGTACGATATGATGGGTTGGGTTATGTTGGGCTTAGGTTTTCAGGCCCATGGGTTGGTACAGGCTGTACAGCACAGCACAATATTGTTTACGGCCTACGACCCCGGTGTATATATATGTGTGAAATTTTTATTTTTAATTTTATTATTATATATATAAATAATTATATACATTAAATTCGTATAAATAAAATTTTAAGTTTTTAAATTTTTCTCTATTTTATTAATTATTTTATAATTTTTTTTAATTTACCTCCCACGGCTTGGCTTAATCCATGGCCTGACCTGACCCAAAACTCGACCTAGGGACTAACCTACACAGCTGGCTCTAACCAATATTGTAATGTGTTAAATACTATTAATCAATCAAGTGATATTTATGACCATGGGTGGGTTTTGATTGAAGCTTGGATCTGCTCCCCACAAAGCGCTTCTCAACAGTGGGATGTGGCTATGAGATCGGTGTGAGGAGCAGAAACCAGTTATTTTAATTGGTCAAAGTTATTATATCATGTCTTTTAGATATAATAAATTTTTCCTATCATATATTTCTAAACTCACCATGGTTTTTTAATTAACATATCTCTCAAACTCACTATTACTTTTCAAAACCTTCAAATAACCCATTTTGTTAGTTTTATTGTCCAAAACGCATATCCATTAAGATTTTCATTAAATCACGATTAGTGATCATTACAATAATAGAATTTGTCCAAATAATCATTTAAGTATTTTACATATTGTAATTTTTGTAGATTTGATCCCCACACCTCCTTTTTGAAGTGACGCCAAATAACTATCTCAATTGTTAGGTCATCTACGGTTAGGGCTGTAAATGGGTCAAATTTAATCCAACTTGAATTCTAACCCGATTGATTCATGTTGGATTCAAATATTTGTGGTCATAGATCATAATTAGTTCAGATTGGATAGAAAACATGATGTGTTTATTAATGAAATCAAATTTGAATGTTGTTTGATTGGATCCGCTAAGATCCAATCCTGATGTATACCTACATATATAAAAAGTTGTTTTTAGTATTAATCAGATCATATTTTATAAGATTTGTTAATACGTTAATCAAATCAGAAATTCAAATATGTAAATGAATCAAATTGGGGTCTATGTTTTACTTATATAAATTTTTCATTTATAGTATTTGTTTTTTTATATATTTAATTATATAAATTTATGCAAATTTTATAAGATTTGTTAATACGTTAATCAAATCAGAAATTCAAATATGTAAATGAATCAAATTGGGGTCTATGTTTTGCTTATTTGTCAAATATCAGAATTGGTTATTACTAGGACAAAAAAAGGGCTTAATAAAACCTTTGTGTATCAAGATGTTACTTTTTTTAATACCCTTTTCTCTGAGTTTAAGCCCTACCTAGATGTTACTTTGGACCTTTGATCCTTACTTCCTTTACCTATACGGCCACTCAAGTAGAGAGAAGTAGGAGCTAATGATTTGTTTATAGACTCCATCATCTTCTTCGTCTTAGGTATGGTCCCTTCCTCATCTCCTCAGTAGACCTGTTCACAGGCCTGATTTACACTGTGTGGGGTTTTTGGGCTTTGGGCCGGGCCTTATTCAAATTTTGGCAAAAGCCAAGTCCAAGTCCGGCCTATATGCTTGATACCTCATTCTTTTCCTACCTAATAAGCAAATTGTTGATTAAGTGTGCATAATTAAGCATCAACAAGACAGGAGTATAAATGCATGAGAATAAATTATTGGAGTACAGATAAATTAAGGCTGCGTTTGGAAACGATGTAAATGGAGTGTAAATCCTGGTTCAGGGTAAATTTGCACTCTGGTTCACTTTTGTCTGTGTTTGGTATTATTACATTTATGCATTGACAAATGATAGAAAACACATTTTCAAATACATATTTATATTGATAATAAGATGTAAAAGTACGTCAATAAAAAAGAAGTAAATTTGCATTCAAGTGGGCTTTTAATAAAAAAAATGGATATGCCTTACTGGAATTCGTGTTTGCATCTATTACAGCTAAAAGTTTGTTTGGTAAGAAGGTAAATTTGTCAGTATAAAACTAACCCAACTTTGTAATTTATATGGACCGTTTTACATTCACACTTATTTGTATCGTTTCCCAACACAGACTAAAGGACAATTTGGTTGTCAAAAGGTGCACTCAAACTTATGACATGCATTATTAAAGACATTCTCATTAATGGCCAAGTTTGGCTTAATATGTTTTGTCATTTCCCTAACAATGTATATTAATTGACTTTTATTTTAGTTGGACACCAAAAATGCCTTTTCCCCATGACAATTATCTTGAGGAGGTATATATAGAGCAACATCCTAGCTTTGTTGCTTAGCTGTGCAGTTTTTTTTTTTTTTTCTTGGCACTTGGATGTGCAGGTTAAGGCTGGCTATTTATGGGCTAAAATAGTCACTACATGTTTGGTTTAGTTATGCAGCATTAGGAAAGTCTTAGTGTGGTCTTTTGGGCTTCACCAAGCTCGAAAGATTGAAAAGCAACATTTTTCTGTTTGGGAATGAAAAGCTGTAAGACCAGAAAACGCATGCATGAAAAGACTCAAAAACACAACATTTTAAGAAGCTTCAAATGAAGCTTTCTAGGCTTTCCACATGATAAATGACCTCTAAACACATTTTTAAAAGCCCAGCAGATCGAGAAACTTACCAAACGGTCTTTTTCTTTAAATACAAGATCCCAGAAGCATAATACATCTTTTTGCCATCTAGACTACTGGAAGATCTTTCTAAAAAAACTTGACAAACGACACCTTAATTTAGTAGTATTCTGCAAACGCTTAATCTATACCAATGTATTGTTGATCATTCTATTTTCAGTCATAATGCTTCAATTAGGTAGATTTTTTAGTTGTTTATATTAATGATATAGTTCTCGTAAAAAGCAGGATACAAGTAATTGCTAAATTAAAGAAATTTCTGTGACTGCATTTCCAAATAAAATACTTGAAATAATTAAATTAGATACTTCATGGGTATTCAAATAACAAGATCAAAATATAGAACCAATTTGTCATAGAGGAATTATATTGACTTGTTAGAGGAGATGGGGGAATGTTGAGAGCAAAGCCAAATAGATGCTAATAGATTTTAATGGGAAGATGACTAGTGATAAGGGGGAGCTGTTAAATGATATTTAGACAAATATCAAAGATTGGTTAGTCAGTTGTACTAACCTAACCATACCAAACGTGGCATTTCCTTTAGTGTGAGAGTGTTTAGTTATGCGAAACTCTAGGACTTCTCATTGGGAAGCAATTGTCTAAGTTTTGTGCCAATTAAAGGTGCTTCAGGATGTTGTTTACTGCTTATAACCGGAAGGATATATGAATGTTGATTGAGCTACATCGTCAGTAAATAGAAAGATTACCACAGAATATTACCTATTCTTAGAAAGAAACCCTCATTTGGAAAATTAAAATGAGAAACAACGTGTGGTAGCAAATTAAGAGTAATGCAAAAATAATGTGTAGAGAGCCATGACACATACTACAAACTACTCCCAATATCACATTACTGATTAATCTATTTCGTGGTAATCAAACTACTCCCAGTATCACATCCAAATCTGCATTTAATAAAAGAATGAAGTATACCGTCCATAAAAAAAAATGAAGTATAGTAGTATACTGAAGTGGATTATCATTTTATGAGAGAAAGTTATAAATAGTGATATATCCACACCTTTTGAAGTCTGAGGACTAGCTATCCTACCTATTCACTAAGAGCTTGAGTCACCTTAAAATGAAATTTTTTTTTCCTAAAAGTCATATATATGGCTATTTCCATTGCATCAACAAATGATCACTCTTTATGGTAACTAAGACCTACCTGGAGTTGGAATGAATTACATATATAACAAACTAGTTATATGATATTTATTTAAGGAAGGGTATTCTGGACATATCACATGTAAGATAGTCCTAGTGTCAGCTCGATGTGTTGCTCTATTTTAGCAATTTATGGTAGTTGTAATTATTTGGAAAGAGGAAACCTTCGGGATTTGTTAGATAATTTTGCTTCTACATATGATCTCCCTTGGATTCTTGGGGATTTCAATGTGGTGGCAAACCTGAATGAGAGATTAGTTTGTTTGACATTCCTATGGTTCCCTCTCAACATGTCATTGATAGAGTGTAGGGTGTGATGGAATCTTGCAGTGATAAACTCCTAATTCCACCATCTTATTAAACTCCTTCCTCCATTATCACTTGGATTATTTGGAAGGAAAGATAGCAGCCGTGTGTATGAAGGCAAGGACTCCCCAACAACCACTCTGATTAAAAGTGGTGGAGATGGAGTGAGAGAAATAGTATTGGTGCCTTCTGCTTTGCTTTTCAAAACCTCTATGGCATTAATCTTTGCTATACCCAAGGAATAAGAGATGTAGAAATTGAGAGTGATAACAAATGCCTTGTTGACATTTTTGCTTGGTTAGCTTGCTTGTCCTTGGCAGCTCACCTACATTTTGTGAGAAATCAAGAAGAGTACAAATATGAAGCTTTCTTTTCATCATACTCTAAGGCTGTGTTCAGTTTCAAGGAAATAGGGAAAGGAAAGGAAAGGTAGGAAAACCTTTACAAACCTTGTATGGATTTCCCTCACTTTCCTTTCTTTCCCCCACTTTTTCCTTCAAACCAAACTTAGCCTAAGAGAAGGAAATGGGTATTCAGACTTCATGACTAATAAGAGCATAGATGAGGAGAGTTTTCAGATTTTTTACTCCATGAATAGTGTTCCATGTGGTCTACAGCAACCGTTTTGTGAAGATGATAGACTTTCTGTTTTATACTTAGTCTGTGTTTGGTCTGTATAGAATTCCCTAATACCTTCCCCTTCTTTCCTTTACCTTTTCTTTCAAACCAAACACAGCCTTAGGTTAATGGTTTTTACCTTTTCTATCATTGGTTTGGTTGGTTATTTTTAAGCCTGGTATGGGGTTGGGTTGAGATGCTGAGGAAGAGACGAAGAGTGCTTCCATGTATGCGTCTGGGGTAAAGTAGATTACGTCCTCCCTGTTCTATAGTATCTTCTTTTGATAATAGTTAATAAAATTTAAGGTAACCATCCCTCCACCTAATTAAAGTTAGGGTTTAATATATCAACATCTATTAGCAGAGCCCCATTGTCGGTGGATGCATGTTGAATCACCTTAATACTTTGAGCAATGGAACTGATAGCTTTTAGCCATTAACATAGTTCCAGACCAGGAGGATTGATCAATAGTAATGTGCCTCTCTAAATTGCCCATAGCCATATATTGTGGCACCTGAACCATCTCGTATGCATAGGTTTCTTACATCTTTTGCGATCAGACAATAGTATGGTAGTATTTCTAAGAAAGATAGGAAAATAGAATAATTATAATCAAGGAAGTGATTAAATTTGGTCTTACCTCCCTAGTGTGACAAGAAAGATGCTAAGTGAAAAAGGAATCAACACTGAATAAGATTTCTGTTTAGAAAAAGCTAATTATGGAGATGAAACTCACCGGTTAGACTGTTGTGTAGTTCAGTTCCAAAGTTTTTCTGTTTTTTTTTTTTTATTTGAAAGTAGTTCCATAGTGATTTTTTTAAGCCCCGAAAATTTACTCAGTGGAGGAGTGGCCCATAGATTTTATTAATATTGAACAAAAGAAACCTAAGAGGGGGGGACGTAAAAACCTTACCCCTCAGAAGATCTATACAAAGGACCACCGGCTCATATCATAACAAAGGCTGTCCGGCGGAACCTAAAAGTTAACAAACTCTAAGAAAAGGAAGACCGCAACCATCTGGTCTAATAAGATCTTGAGCGTGTGAAGGTATACTATCCAAGCTATCATTTGCAAAATCCTTTGTACCAGGTTGTCTGTGCAACTGTGCAAAAACAAAATAGTATCATATAACAAGGTCTAGTAAGAATAACTAAAAAAGAAAATGAGTGAAGGAAAATGGGAGAAAAAAGAATATTATTATACAACAAGCACTAATTTCTTTTTGTTCATAATCCTATACATCCACTAATTACTTTGAGGATTAGGTTCAAGACCCAGTTGCTTCCTTGTCTTCCCTACAAATAAATCCCTTGACTTAATCAAGCCAGGCATTCGCCCTATCGCTGTTATGAAGGGGAGTTGTGCAACAGCATCTCTCCTCCCCAGTGAAACAATTGCAATTGATGAACCTGGTTTATAAGTTGCCATCTTGCTTTCATCGCCTTCAGTCATCAACATCTTCAAGTTCCTGGCAGCAAGTAAAGCATGCCTCTGAGCCAAGTACCCCTGTTTGATTTCCTGTATTTTTCATCTATCAGTAATGATATGGATTTATTAATATTAGAATTACCAAGAAATATGAGAAATGAAATATTCTAGAATATTTCCATCTTAGACTACAGATGGTAATTGTCATTTATGTTTCTAATAAATGCAAAGACTTGATGTGCAGGCAACTTTTTACCTGTAATAAAGTTCATAGCTTTTCTAACGACTTGTAATACTTGTGGGTTAGCCTTATAATTGGATTTATTCATATAACACTGTAATTTCTACTTTTTTGTTCATCTCTTCATTATATTATTTGCAACTGTTAGAAATAAAGAAATAGTAGGCAGCAGCTTAGTTTTGTAATATTTACTTGAGTCACTTAAAGGGCACTCTAGTAAATTTATTTGTAATTAGATTTTTTAATAAATAGAAGTCAGCTGCAAGTAGGAGATGTGATTTTTCTCCCTATTGACTCTCTCCTCTCATCTCTGTTCTAATGTTTCTTATTTCTTCTGCTGTTTCAATTATTGTTCTTATATTTTATTCATTGGTATCAGAGCAATAGTTTAGGCAATCATTTTTTCACTTAGTTCTCCTTTTCTCTTATTAGACCTGCAATCTCACAAATCTGAATCCACTCTTCAACATAAGCCTTCAGGTCTGTGAATTTGTGCCTGTTGGTCTACTTATGGCTATCAGCTATGACTACTTAAGTTTTTGTGGTTGTGTTGTTGTGTGGTTGTAGTGTAATTCCCTCTAATTGGCAGTTCAAAGAGGGACAGGGTGGTTGGTTGTAGCAGAAGATTTGTGAAGGTTTTCTGGTGCATACAACTAATTGATTGGAGTTATGGTGAATAGTACCACACAGTTAGAAGAATGATGACTGGAACTGTTGAAGTGGAATGCTAGTGCTGGTTGATGGTTGTAACCAGACATGGAACGCTATTAGGTTAAGGATAGCATGATATAAAAAACAAGAAGTTTCAGTTGGAAGAAGAGAAGAAGAGTGAAGAAAACAAGGGTTTTCAACAGGGAGAGATTCAATTGTATCTACCTAGCTGTAGACCCATCTTTTATATAACTTCTTAACCGAAGAGAAAATTACATTTATGCCCCAGCTTAAGTAACACTTACAAAGGATTAAGGATAATAATAAATGTAAAAGACTATTCTACCCTTACAAAAAATACTTTGACACTCCCCCTCAAGTTGGAACATATATATCATAGAGTTCCAGTTTGTTACAAATATAATCCATCCTAGTGTGCCTTAAGCCTTTGGTGAACAGATCAACTACATGGTTTGAAATGTCCCTAAATTTTCTAATATTTCCATGACATATTTCCATTTCAATGGGTAGTGATGAAATTTTACTGGAACTGACATATTCCCCAGTGAACAATACTAGCACTATGTGGAAGTTTTGTGAACTTACAATTCGAGTAGGGGCAGTCTAAAATTTATTTCTAATTAGTTTCTTATATATAAAGAAGTTAGCTGCAGGTGGGAGAAGTGTCTTTTCTCTCAACCAATTCTCTCTTCTCATGTTGTTCCTTCTTCTAATACTCCGTCATTTCTTTTGTTGTGCTCAGTTATTGGTCTGATATTTTATTACAGCATGCATATCCCTGCTAATAAAAAAATGCTTCATGTACTTCTTTTGTCCTACAAATTATCAATTGAGCTTTTGTTAAGTGCCACTCCATGAACCTTACAATTAAAAAAAAAATTGATGATATTGACTATCTATATTCGGTAAGTATATGACTCCTTTTCAAAGGTACAGACACAAACAGTATAATAATACTTTATTCAACTCAACAGAGCCTTGTCCCCAATTATATGGGTTTAGCTACATGACTCCTGTAATAATAAAAATATAAGTATAGCAGAGGACATAAGTATTGATGTCCCCTTGCATAATTCTTTGCCATTATTTATATCCAAACAATTCCTTAATTACATAAAGTGAAAAGTGAAAAAAATTCTGGACATTGCTTTGGCATGGATAGAAGTAGGATTATGTGTAGATGGATGGAATATGCATGTTAGACATTTCAGACGGGTGAGTATTTGGCCCTATATGGTGCATAACATAAATATGTAAGTATTGGTTACCTTTCAAGAAAGAAAAAGATAAACCAAACACTAAGACTTGGGATGTGATGAAGGGGAATTTGGCCCAACCTCGCAATCACCCGACACGTGGCAAAAACAAGCAACTCAGGACAGTAGAGCGCCCGAAGCGAGCACCGAAAGCAAGTCCAAGCTCACTACTGAGCCCGAACTCCACCAGACCGCTCTAAAAGGAGCCCGAGCTCCCTAC